ATTCTTTTCAGTTTTTACTTATTTACAAATAAGCTATTTTGCATTTTGAGCTATTTATCATTTATTACATGAATTAATTTTTATTAGGTTTTAGCTGTTATTTTTCTGTTTTTACTTCATTTTAATTTAGTCAGATTTCTACAAACGCCCTGTGAAAGAAGCCRTTCCAGGTCGTTTTGGCTGGTTGCGCTATCTTGATCTTTGTCAAGACTTGCCATTTGAAAGTAACCAGATTTTACAGAAAAGATAAATATGAATAAGTTTACAAAAGAGCTGACAGGCTCATTTAAAAACTTGCATTACATCAGTCTGACAAGGTTGACTTTTAATACGTTTCCCACATAATAAAGCTCCTTTTTTATTTTCTTATTGCCACATTATTTCTGATCATTCCTCATTAAGCACAGAAAAGTAGCATTTGGTAAATTGGAAGTATGATTAGTCACTTTGTGATGTTCAATAATGAGACAAGTTGGGATTTTATTTTGGGACGAGGTAATTAGGAAGTTCACTCGCACACTCACTCTGACAGTYTGGTCGTCGGAGCAGGAGAGCAGCTGGGAGCCATCGCTCGAAAACTGAACACGCTGAACCCAACTCAGGTGGCCGCTGCAGTCGGCCTTCTTCTTATTGTCTTCAAAGTCCCACAGCTTAAAGACGCACATACAAAAACACTATGTTATATATGTGTATTTAGGTCAAATAAACTCCACATTGTTGGGTGAGTTGTGTTCTACCTCCACTGTGTAGTTGGAGAATGCTATTGCCAGCAGGTTGCTGGTAGGACAGGCGTGACAGTATTGCACTGTGCCTAAACGATTGGTCTTTATCTCCAACAGCATGTCTGTTGTGTCAACATCAAACACCTGCAAAACAACACATCAGAGTCTAATCTGCCTCCGTTATTAGGTAAAATCATGAAAAAGCTGCAAGAAACACTGGAGGTAAAATGTTCCATCTTTCCTGAAAACCAAAACAGATAAAAAAGCTAAGGCACCTCTGCAGAGCTGGGTTGATTCCCAGAGTGAAAATGTAGAGGACACAGACTGATTACAGGAMAAGAATATCTGATTTTGGGTAGCTCAAGAGAGGAGGTGCGGCRCATTTACAGCCAAAACACACTTGCTTCAGATGCTCTAGAAAACATTCTCCCCTTTCCTGCCTTCTTCGGTGAAACGATAAAACAGTGGCAAGGAGGACAAAGCATTTACACGGAACTCATTAAACGTTAACTACAGAATAAAATGTAATTCCATGCTTCCTTCTATCCCTTCATAATGCTCACCAGAACAGCATGCCTGGTAGCACAAATGATGCGTTTGCCGTCGGCGGTCCAGGTGCTGCACTTGACAAGGACCTCATCGTTGTTGCAGTCGGTAAACTCGCTCTTCACGTTGATTGTCTTCCACTCGTTGGCGGTCGAGACCCGAAACAGCTGCGGGAAAACATTCAGAGAGGATGTGAGCGCAGAATGAGTTCTGAAGCTAATGCAGTTGTAACACAACAACAAAGCAGGTGATATTAATGATTATCACTCGCTGCTGAAAAGCTGAATAATTTTCACAGCCACTGACATCAAAAAATGTCTCTAACTTATTGGATTTTACATATATTAGTCTCAAACAGATTATAATAATGATAATAATTTTCATAATAATATATCTCAAAGATTTGTGTTAATCTAAAATCATTCAACTCGTATAAACTGAGTTAAACAGTAAAGTGCAGTCACCTTAACAGTGCCGTCGTTGGAGGAAGTGGACAAATAACTGTCATCGGGGGAGAAACAGCAGTGTTTCACTGGATTAAAGTGGCCAAACAATGTGTTCTGAGAGGCTGGCTTGTTGAGATTCCAAAACTATGAAAAACAAAAGAAAATACTAAATAGGATACACAAAATGAGAACAGAATAAAATAAAAATAAATGTAAAAACCTTGACATTTGTCGTTTCATCATTAGAGCAGGTGGCCAGAAGGAGTTGCCGCGTCGTGTTGGTGAACTCACAGTGGTTCACCTGCTCCTGATGCTCCTCTGGAAAGGCCCTCAGCAGTTTGCCCTGCTCTGCGTTCCACACCTAAAACCCACAGATATGATTATTTTATCATTAAATACATAAAAACAGCAGGGTTTATTAGGTTTCGGTTATTGTTTGTTTCTGCCGTGCAGTCAGGGACGAAGAACTCGCGCTCCGCTCACCTTGACCTTCCTGTCACTTGAGCAGGTCGCGAGGAGACGGTCGTCGGGGGAGAAGGCACAGCAGAGCACCTCGTCATCATGGGCGTGGATTTCTTGGAGTTTCTCACCTGAGGTACTTTTAAACACCTGAGCACACATGTAATACAAGAAAACTGCAAACGGGAGCCGGAAAATACACTCAACTAATCAAACAATGACTGAGGTGATGTATTTTTTAATTTCTTTACACAGCTATGAATATTCCATCACTTTTTTTTTACATTTCTGGCTAAAAGCCTTGCTAATTTTTATTGGAAAACAGCAAAAAGCTTAAAATCATAATAAAAGATAACTTAAAGATATATTATACATTTTGACAGAAAAAAGAGTGAGTACCTTTAGCGTCTTGCCAGCTCCRCAAGAGGCAACTTTGGTTCCATCGTGGGAGAAGCAGGCAGAATAGATGGAGCCCTGGTGAGGATGAATCACTAAACGAGACAGGTTTTCCACACTGCTCTTGTTTCTGCATTTAAAAAATACAAGGAGACTGCATTTAAAAAATACAGGGAGAAGTAGGCAAATTTTTTGACAATCTATCTGCACAGCTCATTGCGCTGCATGCAAGAACATGTTCGTTATTCTTATCCTAAATTTCTCTTACTTTTGTTCGTACAAAGGGTTCGTACGAACATGTCACGTCAGAATCAACAAACTCTTCTATCTTCAGGAAAAGTGTGTAAATGCGGAGCGTAAACTGATGAATGCATATCAGGTGCTCGTGCACGGGGAGAGGTGATTTACATAATTATCACCCCAAAAAACACCATAAAGGATATACATTTCCTGCCACACATACCAGGAAGTGTCCATTCATAAGGGAGATCGCAAAGTAAAAAATAAGAACTTTACGAGTTCGGAGATTGAAGTTCTCGGAGAGCCACAAAAAAAAAAAAAAAAAAAACAGAAGAAGAAAAAAGTCATTTTTAGCAGCTTCAGCTGTGGAATTAAAGGATCGTTTTAAAGCCATGGAATGAAATGACGACTGCTGTTAATGTTGTGTCTCCCGTGGGTTGTACAGTCACAGAAATAAAATCTAAATCATTTTTATCTCTCTCTCTGTAGTCCTGCTCCGGTTTTTTGTTGGTCAAATATTTTTAATTTCAGTGTAAACAACTGTGTTACATAGGTTTCACTTTTTCAGAAGAGCACTCGCGCACTGCAACCGCCCCCAACCCCGTCGTGTCAGATGCGTTTCTGAAAAAAAAAACATTTTAAAATGTCTCAAAGCTTCACTTAACTTCATATTAATATTGTAGTGCTATACAACAAAATTAATAGCCAATTTATTTTTAATTTAATCAATTTATGTCGTTAGTCTACATTATTACATTTAAAATTATAATTCTAATTCAAACAGAATAACCTATTGTCAACATAATTATAGAGTGTGATTTATTTTCAAATCAAAATATCTTCAAACTAATGAAATATGAAGTTATTAGTGAGAAAAATCTGTCTGGATAACAGCAGACTGACTGCTCATAAAATACACAACAAAAATATAAACGCCCCATGTCAAATACAAGAGTTTTATGAACATTTGTGTTACGCAACATAWAAARAAACTCAAAATATATTTTCAGTAATTACTGATCTTCATATCGGCATTGATAACATTGTGGTATGGTCATTTGTAGTGGATTTACAGTCCTTTGAACATGATAGGGGTCAGGTTGAGGAATTTGATTTTTTCAGTATCTTGTGTGTCTGCCAGCTGCGTCTCTCAGAGCAACACATCTTCTTCACATGGAGTTGATCAGAATGTCTATGGTGGCCTGTGGAATGTTATTTCATTCCTCCTGGAGTGCCACACGGAGCTGACCCACACTGCCTGGTACAGGAACACGGTCCCGTACACGCCTATCCACAACATCCCAAAGATGCTCTATTGGGGACGTGTCTGGTGAATTTGCAGGCCAGTCCAGAACTTCAATGTCCTCTGTTTAAAGGAATTCCTTGCAGCTACTGCTCTGGTAGACATCCCTGCATCCAACATGCCAATGGCACGCTCCCGCATAACTTGCGACATCTGAGGCATTATGACGTGAAAAAATTTCCATTTTGGGGTGGCCTTTTATTGACCCCAGTCTAAGGATTGTCCAGCTGTTGCTCATTTTGTCTGATCACCCACTGGACATGCTCCATCCATGCACTGAGTAAAAAAACAACTCAATGAGTAATGCTCACTGACAGCAAGTTTTTTATAAAAGAAAAATTATACATAAATCAAGAGAAATATTACCTTTGTGCAATAAAATGTCAGCAAATGCTCATTTACTGTTGTTAACTCACCATGGCTACAATATTTGACTTGGGGCGTTTATATTTTTGTTAAGTGTATATGACAGGTCTGGACCACTTGTATCTGAAGAAAATCTTAGAATACGAAAAAAATTGGTGAATGCCACGAATTCTCCTAAACCCCTCGTACGCACAACTTAAGAACAAATCTGTTCGTACAAACGGTTCTTGCATGAGGCCCATTGTCTGCCAATGGACAGCAAAATTGTTAAAATTATGGCAATTTTCAATATTGGTAAGTTCTGACTTGCCAATACCAAATTTTCTGATACCAATTTCTTTTAACCAAATACAAAAAGATTCATCTTTTAGACAATTGTTCACAGTGACAATTTTGAGCTAATAAATAACCTAACATGAATACTTTTGTCTTTATGGAAGAAAACTTGATCCCCCATAGAAATATGAGGATGAGATGAGGCAAGGTGGTGGCAATTCAAATAAATACACATGAATGAAATGAATACACTTCAATATTAATCATACATATAAATTCTAGTTAAATTCTGACTTTGGATTTTCAAACAGGCAGCTGGTATTTAGTGACCCAGTCTGGTTTTTAATCGGTCAAGCTGAATATCGGCTTGCATCAAGGATTAATATTGTGACACATTGTAGCAAAAAAAAAAGGATGTTCTGGTTCAAAAATACAAAAAGCTAAAGATGTTTTGATGCTCAAAGGTTCGAGCCAACATGTTTGCTTTTACACTTTAGGATCACCAAATATAAAAGTTGGGTTTTCATACATCAAGTCAAAGTAGAGTTTCCCCYGCTTGGCCCGGCTCTGGGCCTCCTGTCGAGCCTGTCTGTAGACCTCGGAGGTGTGCGGCTGCGACAGAGCCAGCTGAAGGACATCAGGGAAAGGACGCTGCTCCAGGTGGTGGGCGCTCGAAGACAAAAACTCCTGGAACTGACTGCGAACCTCACTGTTCTGAAAGGACAGAAAGCACAGGCGAACATTACTCTCCTGTAGGCGATCTTACGCAAGAAAGATAACAAAATTTTCCCTCATTCAAGAGCAAAGTTCATATTTAATGAAGAGCAGTCCTTWAACCTCAGGTGCATTTATTGCTGCAACAAATTAGCTTTATTTAATGAGACAACTTCTTATTACAAACCTCTTTATCAAGAATGGATCCAAACTCCATGTAGTCATTGATGAGGAGCGCTGGACCCATTATCTGGGCCTTCATGCTGACCCAGTCCAGTGAAAACATGAGTGAGTAGAGCTCCTAAACAGAARAATGAACCAGAGAGCGATGTTGTGCACAAAAATCAAAGATACAACGTAACAATGTAACCAAATTAAAATGAAGCGTTTTACCTGAGAGAGGTTTGCTTTGGCCATGTGGTAGGTCAAAAATCGGATCCAATAGAGGCATTCCTCGTCTCCTGAGGTGGGAGGATTGTCTTTGTAGTGATGCTGGTACTGATGCACCGCCTTAGTGTGAAGGTCCTGAAATGTGTACATACGTCTACTGTAAATACACACTGTATATTTTATAGTAARCAAGTTTAATTATGTTTTAATTAAAGCCGTTACATTATAAGTGTTAAAAAAAACTGCAGCAGCAAACAGACTAAAATAGTCTCCCAACCTCAATATGTTCTCGATTCTGCTCCACCAAAAAGTCCAGCTGGAGGTCGTGAAGGTAGTACAAATACGGTTTACTGTGAATGTCGACAAAAAGCAGGGATTTGTTGACAAACTCCTGGAGGATGTCCTCTACTTCCTCTGGCTCCAGATCCCACAGAACAGACAGCACCTACAAAACAAAAAGTGTACAATACGGCTCGTTGTTGTCCAAATATTGCACTGCTCTGTTCATTACAAGTTAGCAAACTAAAAAACATTCTAAATAAAATTTAAAGATCATATATCCTTCAAATATATATTTAAGAAACTTGGCATAATACATGTGATTTTACCCATTTTGTTATATAACTGGCATCTTTTCTTTTGAACTTGGCTCAAGCAGTGAAACAGGAAGTGACATCAAAGGGGAACTCTTTAAGAAAAGGAATTCCTTTTTTTTTTTATTGACACAAAATTACTCCAGCTCTGACTCTTTATCTCTGTGATGATTCAAAATAATCTAAAAAAAYWGGATTCTTCTCTACAGYCTGTGTTGTTAGTTATTGTAGCAATGCTCTGTTTGCATGCAGACATTCCTCTTTGACATCACTTCCTGTTACTTTGCATGACAATATCTCAACAACTGTTCATCTCAGCGGTGTAATTTTTTTTTTGAAATATGTTATTTTTATCTTTCCAAAAATGCATTCATATTAATTACAACAATTTGACGTCACGGACACTTTAATCTGTATTTGTTTTGGGGAGTTTTGATGTTCTAACAAGGAAAAAAAAAAGTTAAACATAGATGTTCTTTAAACGTCAAACATATGATAGAGGTATTTTGTTTTGTGCTGGTAAACCTTAGCGGGAATCTTCACGTCCTTTTCCAACACAGTAAAGTCTTTGTAGAGAGCTTGATGGTCCTCAGGCAGATCCTCGATGCTCGCCGCCATGGCCTGATCCAGGGCATCGTAGTCATAAGAGGACGACTTCCTGATGCGCTTAAACTGCTTCTGCCGCAGCTGGTGGAGGTAATAAGGCCAACGGTTGGGTTTCTCTTTCAGCAGGGCACCAACTAAAGATACCACCAGAGGAGAGCCTGACCAGGAGTGGTAGAAAGAGTAACAATTAAGATWAAAAAAAAACCCAGCTGATTTGAATCAGAACAAAAAGACAAAACTGACTTTAAAGTATTTATTTACAGACCTTTACATTCTCTAACAATACTACGAGCCTCCTCAGGCAGAGCACGGAGCTTTTTTTCAGTGTACAGAGCCAAGATCTCCAGTGCTTTTTCTTCATCCAGACCACTTTCTACTTGCACTTCATGTTTGGAGCCTAAAACATTAAAGCACATATAAAAGGTGTTTTTTTTCCCCTCTTTTTTTATAATTTAAAAAAAAAGTAGATCAGATAACGTACCACCAACAGGATCAACGATGCTTCGGTTTCTGGTGGTCAAAAGAATCCGACATTGAATATCAAAGACTTTCAGCACAGAGCTATCCCAGATGTCGTCAAGAATTAGTAAAGATCTAGAAAAAAATATCCATAAAATGACAAAGAAATTTGTTTTACTTCAGCAGCTACAAAATACTGTAAGCTGTAAGAATAACATGTGGCAATCATGAATAGAGGTTTTTGTTCTAGACCTTAAATGACATCATTAAGTGATGACAAATAATGCAAACTATAAAGTCATGTGTTAGGTATTGAATAAATTTATTCAATTTACGGAATTATTTAATCAGTCGGTCAGTCCTCATCATGTTAGCCTATATGTTCTAAAAGTAAAAAGGTTTTCTGCAACTTATTCTTTTTATAAATGACGAATGTTTTTTTTTGAGCATATGATTCTGTGTTTCTGTGTAAACATAGGATCAGAGCATCTTTTTAAACTCATCTTTCCTATTGTGTGCATTCCAAGCTGCAAAAGGTAGCGCAACCATGTTGCGAAAGACCTGAACATCCGTTCTCCCCAATGTTTGTTAAGTGTGTGTAATAAGAATGGGTGTTCTCAGCTGCAAATTCCTAGTCTGTGTTTATCACTGACAATGGCAATAAAACTGATTCTGAAACGTCAGAATCTTTGCGAAAAGCTGGTAAAAAACATTTCTATAAGCATCCAAGACAGTTAAAACTACAAGCAGTTGAAGATAAAACTATGAAAGTGAAAATAAAATTAGCTAAAAAAATTTGCAAAGTCGGAGACGACTAAATAATTGTTTTATATAGGAGGCATAATGTGCCATTTTTGTTTTTGATATTGTTTTATTATCRATACTTTTATTACATTGTGTTCTGTATGTTGTATTCATGATTAAATGCAGCAAAATAAACTATTTGCAAAGTGGCAAATCACAGATGTAAGAATAATCTTTATTAAATAGAAGGCAAAATGTCTTTGTTTTTGATGTTTTATTATCGATACTTTTATTACATTGTGTTCTGTATGTTGTATTCATGATTAAATGCAGCAAAATAAACTATTTCAAAGGTAACAGATCTTTGTAATACTTGGTTTATTTACATAATGATTTTAATTGCTGGATGTTCGGACTCTGTGTTGTTGACCTGCATTAACTGTGGCCCCGGAGCAATTTAGTTGAATAGCTCTATTATAAGATATCACACAAATTACTAAATATAAGAATATAGTCAGCGTTTCACACAGCTTTTAAGAAATTAAAAACTTCACTATGATTTTCTCTGCCAAATCATACAAGCTATATATTATTTATACAACTGTTTTGGGTTCTGAATATAAAGGAGCACAAAGCAAAAAAGGAAATATCAAGYTAGCCAACCTGGGAAATTTGCGCAGCATGAGGAAGCGCAGACGCTCCTTGGCTTCATCCAGAGAGTTGAGGTGGACCGGCTTCTCATCCAGGCTCTGCTCCAGACGTAAACACAAGGACTGGATCTTCACCAGTAGGTCCGGTTTGTCCACCTGACCGATCGACAGCCAGTGGACCCCTGCAGGAAAACACTCTGCGTGCAGAAGAAGAAGGAGAAACTAAGAAACTAATCAAACAGGGTTTGTTAAAGTTCTTCATTATTTAAGTTGTTCTTCACCTTCGATGAGTTTGTGGTGCCTAACTGCCTCAGAAGCAAGCACGGACTTGCCCGAACCAGCCATGCCATGAATTGTAACCCAGCCAGGGTCTTTCTGAAGTCGATAAAGTTTTTCCCGAACCCGATTTAGCAACTCTGGTCTGCTGACAAACACTACAGGCCTTTGTGGTACCCCGCCTTCACTCAGGATGGTCTGGACTGTTGGATAAACCAGAAGGGGATCAATGTAAAAGCTGTGTAAGGAAATGTGAAAGTACAAAATATTACCCTGGAAAAGTCACATTTAAGAGCAAATCGCATAAATGTTTCATCACTACTTGAGTCCTACATTATGAAATCTCCAACTTCCCACTTCTCACCATAAGCTGCAAAGTGGTCAAAAGAGCCATTCTGAGCACCAGACGWCACACGGGGTAGATCAGCGTGCAGCTGCTCGGCCAAATCGTGATAGGTCTCTGCACGCAGAGCGTTGTAGAAAGAAATGTAGGAACAATTGTCCTTCCTCAGCAAGAGGTCGAGAAGGGCTGAAGCTTGATCCTTCCTGGTGGGCTGCAGAAAAAATAATAATAAGACAGCCTTATCAAAATGTCAAAAGGTAACCTCAAAACTAAGTAGAAAACAATCTAGTTTAAAGAAATAACAGATTATTTTTCTAGTTGCTTGAGCTCACTTGTGTTTTGATCTTCTCCTCTTCCTCCCCAGTCAGAACACCATCGCTGATCATGTGGTCCATCAGATAGRTGGGCTTGATGTCCTGCTCCAGCTTGTGACGGAGGCGCAAGAGGCAGCTCCGCGCCCGTTCCTCCAGCACCATCTCTGCACAAGCCTCTGACCATGCAGGAGCTGAAAATGTATGAAGACGACAACGCGAGGAATATTACTAAAACATGAATAATTAGCCTTTTTTTAAAACTCCATGAACATTGCAATGTTGAGTAAAGTGTAAATAAAAACCTAAAGCAATGGTTTGCATATCTCATAAACCAAAATTTATCTATGGAACATAGATGATGCTGTTGTTTTTCTTTCGGTTGTTCCTTCTGCAGGGGTCACCACAGAGAGCTAACTTCCATTTAGCAATTGTTACAAGGTTTGTGTGAGATTTTGTTAGAGGAGAATCAAAAATGTTATTTAATGACGAAAACATCTGTCTTTTTTTATATATATATATTTAATTTAGAAACCACCTCAACACAAACAAATCTACGTCAACATAGTTGAAACAGACTTCTCAGAAATCATAAAGATAGCACCAAAGGTGAAGAGGAACCGGAACTGATACCAAAAATGAAATTATAACTTAGCTTATCAGCTGGGCAAAGAAGCAAAAGCTCAATTATTTTACTTTAACCTCTTCTAGTACCTACAAACAGGCGAAAACTCGGTTACATGTACTTAATAACCTATTACTAATTTAAATAAGGCATGTCAGAGATAAATTTACAGCTTAAGTGCGTCGCAAGATATATCACTCAGGTAATTTTGGACAAGTTCACACACTCAGGACTTAAAGAAACAAAGAAAGTCACAGAAAAGCAACTACTTACAAGTGTTTCCTCTTGCTTGGTGAAACAGCTGTGTGCTGACTTGTAAGTTTCTAAATTAAAGCAACGCCCCCAGATATTCCAGTAAAATATAAAGCGTATTCAATTSTCTGTGGAAGCGATATTACACACCCAGTGAGGGGAGCTTCCTGATTCACAACAAAAACAACCAACACTACTTCGGCTTGGCGCACCAATCAGGAGCTGGATTTCAAACCACGTGACTGATGAGCTCATGCGTTTGACGAATCTGTAGCTGGGCAAACTGCTGCTGCATTCAAAGACCATGTTGCTGTCGTAAATTTGTGGCTTTCCTCATTTAGTCAAATACTTTTTTTCATTTAACGGATATATTAAACTAATAGGTTTGGTAAACATGTTTTTGTCAATCTAAAAATAAAAGCAGCAGATTGCACTGAATCATCACTTGATCACAGTCTCTCATCCTAAGCAGCACGTTGGCAACAGTGGAAAGGAAAACCTTCCCTTAAACAGGAAAATAAAAACCTCTAGCAGAAAAGGCCATCTACCTTGACCTGCTCAGTTTGCGGGGACAGGAAAAAGACAATAAAAAAAACTACATTCTAGGAACCACAAGTAAACCTGCAGTCTGAGAGCAAAGTGCTCTGTTAGAAAAATATGGAAAAATAACATTGTTAATATAACACGGTATGGAAACAAATATTAGTCTTATGTATTTTGTACTCGTAAATCATACTTTGTACTTGTAGATTAAGGTTTGTAACTTTTGGATATGTAAATAGGAACCTGTGTGTGTAAAATAGAGTTGTATCTGTAAAAATTAATTTTGTATCTGTAAAAATAAGATTTGTATCTGTGAAAATAAGATTTGTATCTGTAAAAAATGTTTACACAAGTTAGTCTTTTTTTATTAAGGTCTGTTTACAGGTACAAAGCAAAAAACTACATGTAAATCTCTCTGCTCAAGTTCAAAACTTGCATGTGAGTTTCACTTTACAAGTATGAATTCTGACCCTGTTTTTCTGCCTCCATATGGAAACAAATTCCATATAAAAAAATTCCATACAAACCTACCTTGCAGATTTGTCATACTCAATAAAGAAATTGGTATCTATTCCATTATATGTCAAAGTTGTTACTCTTGTAGACTACATTATAAGAGTCAAAATTTAGGCTGCATGTAAATATAGTTGTAGTTTTTAAATAAAGTGTGTAATAGTTTCTTAAGTTCAAAACTTTATTTTTGAATTAGTTTTACCTTCATTGTCAGCACAAATAGCAAGGCAACACGGGGATTTGAACCCTGTCCCATATATGGGAGTACCAAATACCATTGCCTTTTGCTTTTTTGTAATTTGACAAGGTAAAGCAAAACTTGCATTAAGAACAGCATGGAAAAAAATCATCAAGTGAAAAATTTTAGGTGTTCAAAACTACTATCATTAGATCAAATTTTGTCTTTATCATTTCTAAATATTTTAAGTGTAATTTCAATAAATGCTGTCTTAATGCAAGAAACGAAACCTCTAGTCTATGAAAACAGGAATATAAGCTAAAGTATTTTGCACATTATAAACTAAGGTTTGCATGATCAAACAAAAATACAAGAGAACTACRTAACAAATTTTGGATGGTGATATTTTAAATGCATTTTAATTYAGCATAGAAGTTTTCATTATAATCTCAAYTGTCTATTTGAAWTAAATATTTCAGACATGTTAAGTTAYACAAWTTRCCACCATTATCCACATATCCTGTGTGTGAATAATTTAACAAAAACTGAAAGATATCTGTCTACTGACAAGTTGATTAGTGTTTCAAGCCATGTGGTGCGTGTTTAGGTCTGTTAACTTTTTGGTGCATAAAAAGGTTGTACARCCTTTCCTTTTTATGTTTGCTGTAAAATACTGACACATTTAGACACAACTGCCCTGTGAT